AGCCTAGGGATCCAAACTCATGTTAGAGCATGAAGCTGGGAGCACTGGACTTCAGGAGGATAAATTAGTTTAGCTTGTTGCCTTAGTTTAGGTTTTTTGGTAGGAGGTTTTAGCTCATCAGGAATCCCAAGGAGGTGTCATTTGTTTCCATTATGTTGTTAACTTTATATGACCAAAACTGGGTCCAGTGTTAAATCCTGGAATTCTCTGTGAGGTGCTCAACTGTGTTAATGCCATACCTTTACTTAAAACAAAATGATGCTGAGGAGAGATGTAGCTGGCAAGCATGTAGGAGATGTGGAGATGGATGATGAGCAGGACCAGGGCAGATTGCCTTGCATCGTGTCCCATGGCATTAGGCTTCACTGGTTTCTAGTGGTGAGGCTGAAATTAAAACCTGTCTAAGAAGGACTTTCAGCAGCTGGTGTCAGCAGCTGCTGCCTCCCTCGGTGCAGGTAAAGCAGTTCCTCAGGTTTTCTTCCCAGGTGAGAAATGTGACAGTTGGAAACAAGGAAATGGGGTTCCTGGTTAATCAGAAAAGCTGGGAAACAAAACTCAAACTGCTTTACTGTCACTGCTGAGAGCATTTGGTTGTGTTGCTTGTTTCAGTTTCTCAGAATTAATATCCAGACAAATCCCTGTCTGGTACTAGACAGTCCTGAAGAGGCAAGAAGTCTTGTCAGCAAAGAGACAACTCTTTAGATCAAACCTCTGAAAAAAAATCATCTTTTTGGTTGGTTGTGTTAACGTGTGCTAAGTTTTTTCACAGTCCGCCCCCTCCCCACACCCTGCAGGGGCTCGATCTGACACCCTCTGCCGTAACCACTCTGCTTACGGAGACTGCTGTGGGGCTGAGAGCAGAGGGTGAGGATGGGAAGTGATACCTGTGAGGCTGGTCTCCTCCTTCCAAAGAGACGTGCCTGCCTGTGTCTTGCCTGGCAACCTTGCCCTTGCTTCAGCAGAGAGGTTTCTGGATTTACATCACTGGGGAGGTCCTGCTGACGGCTGGTGCGAGGCTGGGCTCTGCCCTGCTGCTGGCTGGCGAGAAGGTGACTGCGTCCTCGATCACACTTGAGACCTCGGGGCTCTTCCTTAGGTTCTCAGGTCAGGTCGATTTATGTACCTGATCTATGTACCCAACACTTGGCACTGTTCTGCCTTTGTCAGAAGGCTGTTCTGCCTTCTTGCGCGAGCTGCTGCCAGGTACCAAGGTCTGGGTGCCTTGGTGGAAAGGCTTGTGAGAAGTGTAGGGGCAGAGCCAAAACTGGCGGTGGTGCTTTGAGCCAGAGACCCCCTGAGCTGCCTCCTGGTGGTTCCTGGACAGCAGCAGCTGGGTAAGGACTGACACGCAGGGCAGCCAGGGGCTCCCACCCTGCCAGCAGATGGCTGGAGACCTGGTGGGATGAGAGCTGCTGCTGTGGTCGCGGCCTTGTTTTGAGGGCGACTTCTTTCTGGGATCCTGAAGTCCGTCAGGCAGCCAGAGCTGCAGAAGCCCCCGCGGCCCAGGGCTGCAGCGTGCTGCAGGGCGCCCTGCGGCTGGGCTCTGCCGGAGCATCCCCGGGGAACACGGGTCGCCGACCCCAGAGCCCGCGTCGG